AAGAGAAATGCCGCCTTTGTAATTTTAATTTATATTCATGTAAAATAAAATTGGCAGTTCCCTGTTAATAAACCTTGCTTAAGGAAAAAAAAATATAATAAAAAAAATCAGTTGCTGAACTATGGTGAGTAATTAGCCCTTTAGCATCCCCTTTCTCCAGGAATGCTTCCTCCTGAGCTGGCTCTTTTAAATAGCTCCAGTCCTGGCTGCCTTTGTTGAGCTTGGAAATTGTGCACATATGAGAGAAATTAAGCCCTCATTTAACAGGGACACATGCCTGTCAAGTCCAGAGGAACAAAGGCTGGTCCCTAGGGGCTACTCAGCTCCCTGAGGCTGCCACTCATTCTGTTAGCAATGCTTACCCTTTAGAGATTGTATATAAAACCCAATAAATCATTTCATCTGCTCTGGTTCATATACACATGAGCCTGGGACTTTCTTCAAAGTATTTTTTTCTTTTGCTTGCAACTCTATTCATTTATTAAGAGGTGACCTATGTTTGTGAGAGTGTAGCTAGGTTTTTACCTTTATGTAATAACATTAATGTCTGTGAAGTAAACTTGAAACGTTTACTGTCAGAAATAAAGACATTTGATGCTGCATCTATTTCACACAGGAAATGTTTTATTACTCTTTAATGGTCAGTAATCATCAGTGTCTATTGTATAAATTACCAGTATATTCTGTTATATATTCAGTATATTCCTCTGAAAGTTACATCTGAAATGTATGCATATTTCAGCTGACAGTAAAACAACAAGATAAATAAAATGACAGATGTGTAGCCTTGCCTAGGAAGAGAGTATTTTCTCAATTAAAACAAACCAAACAGGAAAGTAATACACTGAGGACATCTTTAGTTTTGTTCTTTACAAAGTGTTATCACAAAGATGCATCTATACTATCCTGGATAAAACAAAACAAAAAGGACTCTGATCATTAATAAAAAATAAAAAAAAACAAACCAAACAAAGTGATAGCTAAAGTAAACGCATGCCAGACAAAAATATTCATACACAATGTATTGGCTATCTCCAAGCACTCTAAGGTGGATGGGCACAATTATCCCCATATATAAATGTACACACAGAACAGAGGGATATTTTACAGTGAATAATCAAAAGAAAAAAAAAGGCAAATGAAATGTTGTCTTTTCCAAGCAAGCTCTTTTCTTTTTCTTTTTTTTTTTAAAGAAAGATAGCCTAATTCTGTACTTCTAGTATTAGACTGACATAAGCGGAGAGAACATGAACAACACCAGCTGAGGAAATGGCACCCTGCACTGGATTCAATGAAGCAAAACTCCCACCAAGTTGAGCATGAGTTTTTCTGTATTACTGGAGTGTAGGATTAAGCCAATGAAGACAAGTTACGGCTGTAGAATAAAACTAAATTGAAGGGCAGATTTGTAACTTCTTTCTCCTGGATGGTGAACATAATGTTTCAATCCCTGCTAGTAACAGGGATCATTTATTGTTTTGTCCACTTCACAAATTTTAACTAACACATTAAAAGCATGCCATTTCTCAAGGAACAATATTATGCTTTGTATTAAAACCACAAAATAAAGAGGGCTGACTGTTCTGACAGCTTTAATCCTGATGATACTGGGAGCCCCAAGTAAAAAGAAGCTGGTACAGCATGGAGTTTTCCCTGCTCAGCAGGCAGAGAAAAAGCAGTTCTGGATTTGATAAGTAAAACCAGATATAGTCAACGGTTATATGCTAAACCCTTGCAATTAATGGGAAACATCACTGGTCCAATGAACTTACATATCAGTGCAGTCTTTGAAAAGGCGTTTTCTCCCATCTTGTTAAAAACTTATTGGCTGTACAACAGTCACAACTTTTTTTGTTTAAAGACTTGTTCATGCTCCACAGTTGTCATAGGACAAAAGAGATAAGATATCAAGACTCCAGGTCCCATTTATATGTTAGAAAAAAAAAAAAACAAAAAAAAACATGTTGTTATTATTGATATTTTTCACTGCAAATTTGTGTCAATGTAGCCATGAAAAGTGCCTGACAGGATCATGATCTCAATATAAGGTGCTTTATAAATACAAAGATGTGGCACCTTTTCCTGAAAGATCTGACAATCAGAAGAAACTACTGTAATAGTAGTTCATCCTACTTATGAGTAGCAACCACATTTAAAAACCATCCAACTTTAGACTATAATCAAAGGCTACAATTCTGTGTATATTGAAACCAAGATATTAAGAAATAATTGCCTTATAAGAACAAATTCCTCTAAAGAAAGCTATTGTGCTATGCCCCTGCAATCCTAAAAGTGGCAGAAATGCAATAAATAAGCTGTTTCTTAGGAAGAAAAAACTGCACAATGCAATGCATATATCTACATGTTCAGCTTAACAGGTATCTACAGCTTCTTCTCCCCCATACACACATAAAATGCATTTCTGAATAATGAACTGAACTAAAACCAAAAAGGTGAATGACTGGGTCTACTGTGCAGTCATAACAGTCAGGAATTATTCTGTAAGTATAAGAAAAGTAAGCCCTTATCACTAAAAATAGGTTTGTCATAATAGTAGCTGTCATTCTGGAAAGAGTCTTGACTAAACCTAATTTTTGGAAGTAAGGACTGGATCCAAATTGAAATCCCTTATCCAAAAGTCACAAAACAAAGACTTTCATTTTGGCAGAATGGTTCATTCCTCAATACCCATATTGGATTTACCTGGTTAACAGAAGATCTGTTTCTAGAGTAGGCTATAAGCAAGTACGGAATGCATACTGTGTAATTCTTAGATTCTCAATATAGAGGTAATTTACTCAGCCTGCTTTTTAAACCTTGAGCAAAAACTATCAGAAACTTGGAGGCACTTTATCCACCTACTCTTTACAAATCAAAATGCAAAACGTTACCGTGAAAACAAGGGAGACTATGCAAAGGTGTTATATGCTGTGCATACCACTGACATAATACTTTAATAGGATATGCTGTAATTTCCTGCAATTAATATCTTAGCAGAGCTATAAAAGCTTTTTTTCCAAAATTATACCATTGCGTTTACAACACTAAAATTAATGTTGTGTCAACCTTTCCATTATAAGTCCCCTTTTTCAGAGGTTTATAACTTGGCTGTAAAAACATAATCTGGCCTAAAATATGGCATGCAAGTTCTTCATTTAGAAGCAGTCATTTTCATTAAATAAAAAACATTATTTAACGGCTGTTTCAAGCAAGTTTTTTGAATATCCTGCAAAATGTGTGAGGGACTGACAAGTAATCTAGGCATTCTTCAAAACAAAATAATTTTGTTGCCACAATAAGCCACTGTTCAAAGGATGTTTCACTGCCACGGAAGTTGTTCCGCATCTATAAGGAAAATACATGGATTTGGGAAACTATAGACTTCTTCAGTGAGAGTCATCTCTCCACCTGTCTCTTTCTGTAGGCCAGTGGCTCCACTTACGGTCAGTGGCTCAACCACATGGGAGACTCAAGCTAGCTGAAATGGTTTTCATTTGAGGCAGGGGAGAGGGAGAGATGAACGAACATACATTTCTCTCTCTGGGTAAAGTGGACTCACGCTGGCTAAAAGCTCAAAGAGAATAAATTAAGGCAAGTGACAAGGTGACAAAGTATGACAGAAAAGACCAAGAGATTAGAGAACCACCCTATGAATTCTGAAACCACAGACTTCAGGTCTGTCAAATTTCATATAAGAACTGGATCAAGTCACTTAGGAATTGGAAAATTTAACTTAGGTGTTTAAATTAGGAACCTCATCTAATCAACAGAAGGTAATTCACAGCACCTGGACTGCTTTATATATGGAGCCAAAAGTCCTAATTCAGTCACCCAAATTAGATATCTAAAATTAGATGCCCCCAAATATCTATATGCTTTTCATTCTGCCTCAAAAGAGTGTTGTGAGGATAATGCACTTCAGCTTATGAGACACTCAGATATGCAGTTACACAGGAGATGAGTAACCTGAAAATATATCACCAATAAAATTCAATGATACGGAAAAGGCAAAACTGGAAATGGGATAGTAGAGTTCTTCTTACAAATCACTCACGTCAGAGCAAAAAAGAAGTGCCGTAACTCCTTCTCTGAGAAAAGTTTGATTCTATATTTATCTTATATAAATTGCTATGTCAAATAAGGAATCTCAGTCTGTGCTTAGGCTATTAGGTGTACATTGCGTTACGACCTTTATTTTGTTACCTGTAGCAAGTTCTCACACTATTCATTAATCTACCTGATCTACATTTAAAACTATATGTTCCTCTAACTGGCTAATCTCTCATTTACAGAATAAAAATGACAAATATATTACTTTAAAACAAAGTTCCCTAACTCAGAAGTGCCCTTTCATACTGTGGGGCAGTGATGTGCCTCAAGATGGATTTTGCACTTGACCATCAACTGTGAATTTCTTTGCTTTTATTATTTGGCATTACAACTTTAATGTTTTCTTAACATACTGTCATTTTGTGTGGATGAATAAGATAAATTCATCATTTCAAAATGTACCATTGTATACTATCTACATCATTTATTTTCTTTTGATTGAATGATTACAAACTTCAATTTAAAATTAATAAGATTTTGTGGGAGTTACTGCATGCGAATTAAGTGTGGTGATGTCAGTGTATCCCTCTGGAATTTAAAAGATATTCCACTGTGTTGTATCATGTGTCGCACAGTATATCAATTTTTATTTCCCATCCCTCAAGTATGGAATGCACACTGTGTAACTTCTTAGATTCTCAATATAGACATAATTTAGCCAAGCTGTGCAAATGCCCAACTTGCTGAAGATGATATATAAAAGATTTATATAGAAGACTAGTTCTTCCAAGAAAGGAAGCCTTGCATACAACGCAAGCCACTATGTTATCTATTATTTGGGGAGAGGGGGTTCTAATGCAACAGACAAAAGGAGTCAGGGTGCAAACTGCAGTCATAAACCAGCTTTTCCTTACTTATTAGAGAGGTAAATTCCAGACAAGCCCACACACCTTTCCTTCAGAACTACGCTTTGACATTTTTGCAAGTGTCTGGGTTATCTAGTTGAATAAGACAGTGAACATTAGTAATATACGCTCACTTTACTTTTACATATATGCCATCAAATGTATACCAAATGTTAAATAGAATCTGGTTTGATCATTTACCAGTTCATATATACTACTACTTCCTTTATGTGAATTCATAATTCCTGGATGCATTCAGACAGCAATGCACTTACTTCTTCCTTGCTGTCATGACATTAAATATATGTAAAATACGTTTTTTTATGCAGAAATTGATTCAGTAATACACTTGTGTTCCTTCTGGAGCATTCCCAGAATTACTACTAAAAATATGTTGATTCTTTAGGCCAGGATTTAGTCCATCTAGTAAATTTAAGATTTTACTGTGAGATTTTAAAAAGTACTCTACAATTTATTTGTACTATCACAATTTATAAAGTACTATTACAACTTAAAAAGTACTTTACAATATTCATTACAAATTATTATGATTTTGGCCTTTTTATGTGAGGCTGTACTACATCATTTTTCTCCAAATACCTGCTTCTGCAAACAGAAATTTTGACCTCTGATATCACATTCCAGTTTTGCCTGCATATTTGAATATTGCCATAAATCATTTCGATATTAACATTTATTAACTATTTTCTTTATTCACCACCTCCTGATAGGTGTGTCAAATACTGTACTCAGTTTTGTTTGCGTTTGGTTTGTTTTGGTTTTTAAATGTAATGCAAATTGTGATTGTTTTCCCTCTTGGTCATCACACGGTTGTCAATCACAAAAGTCATCACTGAAAAAGTAACTAATTAGAAATGAAAGGCCAATATCTTATGCAATTTCTGTCAGTCCTGGGATATGTTTCAATGTAACGCTGATGTAAGACCTGAAAAAGAGCTAGTGTGCTGTTTTTTCCAACTACATCTATTTGCCTAATAAAAGAAATTACATCCCTAAAACTCCTTCCTTATTCATATCTTTGATATTCAAACCACAATACTAGTATTCTAAGTCCTTCCTCATATGAGATGCTGAATTCTGCTAAACTTACGTGAGTAACAACACTTACATATACAAGTCATCAAATTCTGTCTATGCAAGTATTACTCAAGCAAATAAGACATCGCAGGATCAGTTCTGTTGGTAGGCTGCCAGTCAGCTCTATATCTGCTCCCTGTTATCCATTTTAATTTGTGCACATGCCACATAGGAAAGAAACTGGTTTTCAGTGCTGGAGCAAATAGTGCATTATTACTGCATTATTGCAAATTTTGCAATAATGCAAAGATTACATTATGCAGACTGACAGAAGAGGCAATGCATTCCTGTACTACCAGAGGAATAGCACCAGAGAAGCTCAGAGGGGCATAATCTCTACCACATTCTTTGGGAGATAGATAAGGATGTCTGGCCCAGAAAGCACTGAGGCTGCCACAGCACATTGCTCCATGCTTGGTTGGAACAGGCAGACCACCAGCTGAGAGTGACCCCTGGGCAGAGTACAGGTGGGTAGCAAACATTTGCTTGATCCTCTGCTGTTATTCAGAAACTGGTATAATCTGCCCTTAAATTAAGAGGGCTCAAATCTGAAGCCCTACTCTAAGCAAAGGTTGTAGAACGCGTGTTTGCGCTCAATAGAATCAATGAGATTTTAGCCCGTCTCTGACAGAGGCATAACTGAGAACAAACCCTTAAGCCACTGGCAAGATCACAGTGCAGCACACCCAGAGCAAATGAAGCGGCAGTACTTGACTGGGGGTGCCTGTCCCCTCATTTCCAATTTTAAAACACACATGGGAGAGGGAAAGTGGGAGGGCAGCTACTGTCGTTTTCTCCACCAACATGAGCCTGAGAAACAATGACATTTACTCTGGTATAACTAATTTCCACACGTCAGATCATGTTCGGCACTCATGTGCCAAAGTCCTATTCTTCAAGTCTGTTGAAATACCACTTTCTGAAACATGTGTGCTAACATTTGGCCAACACCACCACAAGATCATTTTATTAACTTGTAGCTCATTTCATAGACTGCTGCTCATGTTGCTAACATATGCTATTCTACCATTTACTGCTCTATAATTAGAGAAGTCCTATGAAAGAGATACACAAGGCTTAATTTTTGCATTAAATACAATTTGTTTAGACATGGGTAGGCGAAACAAAGCTATTTAAAGGAAAAAAGAATAAAAAATAGAGTGAATTAGAAAACAGAAAGACAGCTAATTTAACTCTCAGATGGTCACAATACAAATTTTTAAAAACCCAACCCCCACCTCAAGACTGCATACAGTTTTAAAGACTATGTTAAAAGTCAAATCCAGACCTACTTTCTGCTTTGCCAGGATAAATCTTGCTTCCAGGGGCTGAGTGCCTCAGGAGCAGAGCAGCCAGAAGGATCCTTGCAACTAGGGGACCAAGGTGCAAGGCCAGATGCTTTAAGCGTAGCTCAGGAGCAGTGAAGCTTTAGCACACACAGTGTATCTTTTTGCTTAGGTCACCACCACGCTGTCATGTCACCTCTCTTTCCACACATCTGACAGAGAAAATTCCAAGCCAGCCAGCCACGAAGATGGCTTCTGTTGGAAGAAGTTGGCCTATAATAGACCTTTTGCATGGGTAATTATCAAATAATCACTTTAGAAATTATTAATAAGACACTATGTAATAATAAATAAACTACAAAACATCTGAGTTTGATGTTTAACATATTTGTCTTTCCTCCATTGGATTAGTTTCCATTTTCACTAAGCAAATTAGGAGCTGCACGGGAGCTGCAATGCCATGCCTACAGCAGAGCCCCATGAATTTGAATCAAAGGTTTAGCAGCCAACTACACATTACATGCACGTAACATCATTTCTTGTTTCCGTGTGTACACAACTGCATTGCAGAATGGAGTCAGACATAGATTTTTATTTATTTTTTTTTTTAAACTGAACTGTTAGAAAAAAAATAAAAGAAAAAAGATACCAATGACAGCTGGGAACCTATTCATAAACAAACTGGAATTTAACAAAAATGTATCCTTTCTGCAGCTATAGTTTATTAAGCCACCAGAATAATTTACATTTTCTACTGCCATAATCTTGACTGCTTATAAATTACAGTACTTTTACCTATTCTTTAATCCCAAAACATCATTATTAAAATGTTTGATGCAGGCTACAGTGCATCTATCATTACTTGTAAAAGTTAATTAGATTAGATAAGAGAAATAAATAGATTTGCATTTTTATCCTGATTTTAAACTTCCAAAGAAGATCACAACAGTGTGCCTGTGGGCAATTAAAAACAGCATACAGCAGTGAAATATAAAGGCAAAAAAGGTCTGTTTTTTCTGAGTAATTTGTGATTGAAGATACAATTACAAAATATTTTAAGGGTTTGCTGAAGCTGGGGGCTATTCCTAGACTTCTAAGCTTTGTTTATAACTCTCACTCTCCTTCAAGGGAGTATCTGATCTGCGCACCCTGCCAACAGAAGTATCAAATTGCTTTCAATGGCTTTATTTGGTCCTGTTCAGAGCTTGCTGGAAGAGGATCAGTTTCATGATCTATAACTGAAAAAATAAAAAATTAAAAAAATAAATGTGGGGGAGAATATTCCCTAGTGCCAGAACAGTAGCATTGCAATTGTTTTTTGCTTTTCAATGCTAAATACAGTTTACAAAGAGAGACAACTTCCAAGAGCGTAACTGAACTCACAATAACTGGATTCCAGCTTGTGCATTTTCAGCAAGCTCACTGCAAGGAGCTTTAACATGTCTCCAAAAGGTAATAAATGAAAGGTTCGGCTCTTAAAATTGGAGATCAGTTACCTACTTAATGATGAAGCACACCTTTAAATCTATTTCTACTATTATTAACCTGGCAAAAAATTAATTAACCAGGTCAGAGAGGCTATGAGGGCTAATGTGGAACGTAATTATTCCTGATCTTTAGACATGTACTTCACATAAAGAGATAGTCCTTATTCAGCTCACCAGGTACCTGAATTGTCAGCAGTTAATCATGGATAAGGAAAGACTCATTGGTTCAACCTCTTAAGTGTGATTCAAAAGATTCCTATTCAAGGACAGTTTAAATAGTTGTAACTTTTATGTTACTATTCTTTCATTTGTTTACTATCACAGTAATCATGCTCACTCTTTCTAACCGAAAGATAAAATTCAAGAAGATTAATATGAAACTACAGCAGATGAATGCATAAATTAAAACCTGAAAAAAAATAATCAGGAATTATTTCTAGTGGCCGAATTAAAACAGAATACTTATGAGAGCAGAGGAAACCAGTTTTTCTATGCAATGGAAATCATACTGATTCAAACAGAAAATTAAATGCTCTGCAATGGCACTAAGTATAGTACAGGGAAATAAGGTGAAGGGAAATGATCCAAATGAAAGCAATTTGGGTCAGCTGTCACAGTAATACCCATGACAAGTTTTTGCGGAGAAGCTGAATAACCATTGCCCCTTTTAAAGATTTCAGCCACAATTGAGGACTTGTCCTAATGAAGCCTGCCCACCAGAGGAGGGAAGCCCTCAAAGGCTCATCCCTTAAATACACACACACACACACACCCCAGAGGGAAATCCTACCTATAGCAAGATGCTTCAAGCATCAGCGAGATCAACTCCCTTGCTCAGCTGAATGCGGTGGGGTCAGAAGCAGTCCTCAAGCACCAAACTGAAAGAACTGAATTCTGGCAACAAGGCTTAGAATTCAGAGGGATTTCAGGACCTCAAGCAGTTTTCAAGGTTAGAACCGTTGTAGACATGCAAGCCTTGCCTCCTTCCAGCAGCCTAAAACTGTTCACTGTTTCTGTTCACCATAAAAACAATCATCTGGAGAACTGAGACAGTGTCTACACTGCAGTATTCTACTTTTTAATGAATTCCACCCAGAGAAAACAGTGCAACTTCAGTATTGGTATTGAGGTTTCCTGGGAAGATGATAGGAGGGAACCTGAGAAAACCAGCACTGCAGCGTCCTTTACCTGCCTCTTGCTTTAATTCCATTTCATCTGTAGCCCTTAAGGAGCTACACATCCCAACTGCAACACTTGTCATCAATTCAATAGCAACAAACCCATTATAAACTGCAGAGGCAACTTAGCAACTAACTTTGCTCCCAAGCAACTTCTGGCTACCAAAGAAGTTGCCACAAAATTACGAATGAACAAATAAACAAAGAACCATTTGGCTCACAAGCAAATGGACTATGCAAACTGGTACTTAGCCTAAGAAATAATCTCCTAACAAGCATTTTTTTTTGAGTAATCTCCTCATAAAACCAATGTATGTTTGAGATGGCATCTGTCCAACATGCCTAGGGCTTCATATTGGAACCTACAATGTTCTTCAGGCAATAAGATGCCCACTACCAATCTGGCTAAGCAGCTGGGAAAGGAAGCAGACCTCACTGCCTCAAATACACTGATTAGATTCCTGTAAAGATAAAGAGGCCAAACTAGTGAGACTTATGGAGTAAGAGTAGCTCATACTGGCAAGAATTTTGAAGCAAATATAGGGAAGGACCACCAATAAATAATTTAGTTCAGATGAACAGAACAATCATTAAAACACTTCTTTGCATACATGTCTAGGAAAGGATGGGAGAGAAAACCTGGGGCGTTTTCATCACTATGTAAGAGAAAAATTGGGAGTGAAGAAGAAAATGACCCTGCAGCCTATTTCAAAATGAACCTGCAACATATTCTAAGACCATATTTCCCCAGGGTCAGTGGAAGGGTAAAGCTACTGGAAAGTATTAAATCAATTTAAACATAAAGTACCTTTGAACTTTTTACTGCAAAGCAGGATACTTCCCAGTAAAACATACGCAAATAACTATTCTGTTTAGCAGACACCTATGCTTGTCTTAGCTCTTATGGCAAGTTAAGATTTTTTTGTAGGATACTTGATTTTCTGAAACCAGACTTGCGAATGGTGCATATTTTCCTTTCACTATTATTATGTCTCTTCTATCCTTTATGTACACTTAACATGAACATGCAGTCTTCCAACAGGTAATGACAATAACTGTGCTTTAAAATTCAATTGTGTCTTTCATCCCTTGTTATCAATGCATTTATGTATGTTGACTAAACTCCTTTAAGTGTAACCAAAATTGTAACCTGCATTACAATATTTGCAAAAGCACTTACAATCATTCCTTTGGGATGAGGGAAGGAAAAACTTCAGTTTTGGCATCTAGTAACATGACAATCAGCTGAGTAAGGAGAAAAGGTCCAAGCTTATAACAAACAATTGGCAGCACAATCATTTGTCAGACCAAACCAAAATAAATCAAAGAACAGGGCCATAGAAAGACTTTCAAAGTGTGAAGCTGAAAAGGTAATAGAGTCACATGTTAACAGTGTGTCTACCTACATGACGCTCCCTATGTATTTGCACAAAATTACCAGATTCCGAGCACAAGTACACATAATTGAATACCTCCATAACATAAAGGTACAGTTACTCCAAAAGTACATGGTACACATATAGCTGTGGGTCTTTGTACAGAGCAGACTGGTCCCAAGGACTTAGTACTGTCTCAATCCTATTCTACAGCTGTTAACTCTAGTTAATGAAATGGAAAACATCCTTCTAACCTTCTTATATAGCAACTTTTGCCTTTGTAGAATAAGGAATTCTATAAACAATGATTGAGACTGCTTTTACTTCACAAAATACAAGTCAAACTGATTGCAGATTTCAGAATTAAAGACAAGATTTAAGAAACACTTCATAATTTACAGAAGTATACTCTGCTTATTGAAGAAAAGCTCTTTCCGCCAAAAAAGATGTTTTACAATAATTTTCTAAGACACAAAGACCCTTCATAAAGAGCATCTTTACCGAGGCTTGTTAGTAAAGCATGTGGCTGCTTTATTTTAAATCCTTCCCTCTCCATAAACGAAATTTTAGTATAATCAGAAGAGAGCAATAAAACACACTGACCTGAATTTGCTGCTGCAGTAGATTGATTTTGTGCTGCTGTTGCAGAAGTTGCTGCTGTTGTCTTGCAATCTATTAGAAATAAAATTGCCATTAAATTAAAACAGTCATATTGAAACTTTAATATTATTGAGTGGAAAACACCTTATTAGCTATTCTTTATTATAGTCTTATTAAGCATCATTTATTTCAAAAAAGAAAAAAAAAGAGTATTTTAGGGGTATGTGATGCAAACACTTTAAATGCAACATAAAACCCATAAAAATCTTGTTAGCCAGTCAGAAATATGTATTTTAAACACTTGGGCCTTAATTCCACAAAGCACAGAAACATGGGTTTATCTGTGCGCACATAAATAATCTCATCACTATTTAACAAAGTGTTTAAGCCTGTGGTGATCTTTGACTATGATGCATTACTGTTAGCTACAATAGGAATGAAACACATGCTTAAAATTAAGTGCTTTGCTGAATGGGGATGGGATTACGCAGGTGCTTAAGGTTAAACACACGTTTTCCTGCTTTGCTGAACCGAAGCCTTAGCTAGTGCTGAATAGTGAAACATCTATAAATACAAGGTCCCAGGGCAAGCTCCTCTAACTTCATTCACAATGAGCAGCACATTACTTTCCTTGTAAATCTCAAAGTCTTCCTTGGAACTACTCAAGTAGGGCCTCATTGTGTACAAAAGCAGTACCTGATATTCAGTACTCATCCTCAGCACAACCCTGTGAAATACGTAGATATTCCTACCCCCATTTGGTAGATTCAGTAAGGGATCTGGAGGGTAAAGTTTCACTCTATCCCTTCTCTAACATAGATGGGGAGAAGCAAATATTCAGGGCAGGGAACACTAAGACACTAAGGAGAGAGAATCTACCATAAACACACCATCTACCACAAAACACCATCCCACAAAGAATCTAAAATCAGCATGCAAGAGCAGAAGGCAAACCAGACCTCGGATCACAGACCTGCTTCCTGCAAGGAGTAGCATGAACTGCTGCTACAGAGAAAAAGTTGCAGGGAGCTGAGGCAACAACTGGACTTCTGCTTTAGAAGGGTAACCGTGCAGCAGATAGAAACAAGGTCAAGATTTGTGTTTCCTGGAAACACAAGCCTCAGCACTTCTGCTACCTTCATTTCTTAAATATAATTTCCCCTCCTATAAATATTTATCTAGAGCAGAATAACCACATAAAACAGCAAGAAGTGGTGACAAACGTAGTTTGGTCACTCAAATCCACTGTTTCAGTTTTGGCAAACCCTCTCCTGATCTCCTTTGCTCCCCACCATTTTCTGAACACACTTTCTTTGTTATAAACAGAGAAAGGCAAGTAAAATGTTTTTATGATTAAAAAATACAGGAATGTAGCAAGGTTGATTTTGAAATAAACAGTCACATAGTTTTAGTGCAAACTGTTCAGATTAACTCAAACGGAATCTGCAGTTACATGTTAACAGCTTGTAATTGTGCACACAGGGATCAAGTCTCATTTCCTTAATCTCTCACTTTGTCACCTGGAAATAACTCCGTAATTTTTTTCACTGTATACTCTGTATATTTTTTATACATACAAATATACATACATATTTTTTATACAAAAAAATACTCTGTAATTTTTTTCAGTGCTACAGTTAAAACTCACTTTTTTATGGGACACCAACACAAAATTCATAATATTTTATGTCTTTCATATGGCCTGAAAGAGACAAACTAAGGTCTACATGATTCTGGGGCTGGATCAAGGCAAAGTGCCTCACAGAAAAGGAATCAGGCAACTGTCATATCCCACTACATTGATGCTTGTAAGAGGGATTGAACTCCCTTTATGAGCCTGGTGTTCAAATACTTCTGGACAAATCTTCCAGTAAAGTCAATAAAAATATGGTGGATGAAGACATGAAGAAGCATGCTCTAGTCTGCTAGTGAAAAAGGCAATTCAAACAGCTAGCAGATCGTGTGCCCAGGTAACCCAGGGGCAGCTCCTAAGACCTCAGATCACCTATTGCCAGACAACTCTAAAGGTTACTGTGCTACAGAGAATACTTAAAATCCTGTATGAGTGTTTGAGTTACTATTTTTAATGAGCAATGTACCAATTGAGCTATTCCACCTCAGAAGTGTAGTGCTTGTCACTAAAGATAAGCTCTGTTGGGTTTATGTGCACATTGTCCCTGCAGCCAAGATCTCAGTGAAGGTAATAGAAAGATTATCATGATACTTAGCTTTAGAAAATAATTATTTGAAATTTCACATTGAAATCAGACACCACATGGAGCTGCATCATGGGTGTTTCTTTCTAAGTGCTGTATGTTTTTTCACAGATACACCATAGCCTTTGTCCAGAATCGTTTGGTGCTGCTGGTGATCTGGCTACTTAAAATGGGAAGCTATAGGAAAGGCAAGGATGAGATTTGTGTTTACATATGCAAAGGCACTGATCTGCTGGAGTTCAGACTGCTTGTGAACAGCTTTTTGTACGTGTACATACAATGTAATACCCTTTGAATAGGCATTTACTGATGAAAACCAGAAATGTACCCAAAAACATCTAATGTCAGTGGTTCCTCTTAGATGGAACAGTACTGTGATAGAAAATGTATCCAACACCCTGCAATGCAATTACCATAGCATAGTCTTGATGTATAGGCTTGACACAGTAAAGTAGGGTACACAAGCACCATGTGGCTCAAATTCTGAATTTTATTTGCCTATCGGTTGAGCTACATGCTCGCTTCATTGAGCATGACAACCTAGTTTTAAGTGTCATTTAATTTTCATTTTGAAATATAATTACAAAGTGTTCACTGTAAGATATCACTCGTCTGCAAATGTGTCAAGATTAATTTGTGCTAGCTTATTCACAAGTGTCAATAGTTAATTACTGTGTCATCTCTGGATGGCTAAATGACATTCTAACTTCTGATTTTTTACAGTGTTCCTTTATGTTATTTTCCATTAGGGGATGAGTCCATATTCCTACATGTGGGCAAATACTCAAGCACATAAAATACCAGACGTCACAACTCATTAAAATCAACAGAGCATATATTGCTGTATATATCCTATAAAATACATTTAACTGAAAAGATAATTCTAGTAATAATGTCAGATTTCTAAAAACCACACATTAATTTGGATCTGTCTGATCTAATGCCTAGGGGACTAGTATATGGAATCACTCTTGTTACACTTTTGTACAATGAGAAAAGGACAGCTCTTTGCACAACTGCAGCTTTTTTTCTTTCTTTTTTTTTTTTAAGAAACCCCCCAAAACCCCGAACAAACAAACAAAAAACCTACAAAAAGCCCCATATCAAACCTTACTTGTAGAAGATATTTGAAGGTTTAAAGATGCTTAAGGTTTTTTGTTCAATTATTTTCTTGTCAAAAAGAAGAAGAGTTAAATAATGGTTATAGTCTGGCTTATTTGTAACTCCCAAATTTGCATCTCAATGCAAGAAACAAGAACTGTGAAATCTATCACATGCCATTTAATCTGGGAAAGAAATTATTTGAATGCCCACACCCACTTTTTTTCTCACGGTCCTATAATATTTCCCCTTTCCGGAAAAAGATGTCATTCCTGAAGATATTTAACCTTTGTTAACAAAAAAAGATGAAAGGAAGCACCACACAGCACAGTGTTTATGATAAGCATTCTGCATGAAACATTTCTGCAGGTTTCTTTCTTGGAGCCTCACCTGTTCTTGCTGTTGGCGAGCAAGGTCCATTTGCTGCCGTTGTTTTTCAATTTGTGAGGCTGCCAGCTTTTTCTGTTCGTCATGGGCAGCCAAGAGCTGCTCCCGTAAGCTGATCAGCTGGGTGATCATAGTCGAGAGCTGTCGCTCTTTTTCTGCCAGGCTTTCTGGTGTACCTAAATGTGCAGGAAAGATTTACTGTAAATATGAGATAGACAATAGCTACCAAGCAATAGTCACAAAAAGAATGGCTGAATAGCCAACATGCTTATTTCAAATGGCAGCTTGCATATATATTTTACTAACAAATCCCAAAAGAATAATCTAGCACATAGCTTTGCTCTGCCCTAAGCAGTGGAGGATATAACTAAAATTGAAGCAGAAAAGATACAGAGTATTCCTTTTTTTCTGACAGAAGTAATTAATGATACACTGTGTACACATCCCTGTATCTTTTCCATCTAAATCTGCCCAGTGTGATAAATACAGTCACAGTTTATTAGACATAATTTTCCTTAACTTTATATATTTAGCTGTGTGGTTTGGGGTCTGGGTTTTGTTTGGGTTTGTTCCATTTTGTTTTTCCCCAAGTATGTAAAAACATGAAAAAAAATAGTTAAAAGATGATGTTCAGTGGAAGAAGCAGTTTAATAGTTTTTTGATCATTTCTCTAAAATACCCATATATCTGGTAGGTCATTTGGGTAAATGGAAGCTTTGGTTATGGAATGTGAATTGAAAAAGAGCTCTACTTGTCCCTAAGAGAAATGGCTAACCTGAGAAAACGGCTTAAAAATTTTTATGTAACTTTCAAAGTTTACTCTACAGAGAGCACTTAATTAATATGAAACTACGGTACATTTATTCTTTGCACTAATGATGCTTAATGGTCTGTTTATGGGTAAATTGCATGGGTCTCCTAAGTAGAGAGTACAGGGTCCTTTTGCAAATCAATCCAAAAATATCCTATCTCATGTATGAACATATTACTCTGTCACAAACAGCCGCGTCCGCTTCTGTATTTTGAGCTGTATTCTGCATTTCCCTGTGTGAGCATCTCAGACCCACAGCTCTGTAAGAGGTAATATAATTACAGTAAGGTAGCAGTTGAGGAATATTGGAAGAACATCTGAAAGAGGTTTAGAGCTGAAACTGGGATAAATGAAGCAATTTTATGTTGTACAGGAGAACTGAGAGATAAGTGAACCAAATCAAGAACTAGGTCTGTAATCTGCCACAGTGATACGTGAAGTGGCACAAAAGAGAGTGTATTCATATATTTCCTTTCTTCCATTCAAAATAGAGGACTGTGATAAAGAAGTTATAGGACTTCTGAAGAGGAAGAAAATGTGTGAGGAACAGGATCTGGGAGGGAATGGAGAAACTGTCACCAAAATTATGACTCCACCTTCTTCCCAGGAGTAAGAGAGATATCTTCTAGGGAAGAAAAGAAACAGGTTGACAGGTTTCATAAGGAGTGGGAAGACAAAACAGACTTCTGACAAGCAGGCGACATACCCAAGATGCTCTACTACTTACATTATGCTATGATGGGACCAATATGATTCTTAAACAGAATTTCATTTGCAAAAGCAGCATACAAGTAAATCTCTGTCTGTAACTTTTTTCCATAGAAAAAGAAACTGCATGGCTTAAGTTATCCACTCTAAAGAAAACAAACTCCCAGAAATAAGGGTACCTGTTTTCCTGTTAATTTCTTAATTGCATTTAATGACATAAAGTACAGAAAATATTCAGTTTCTTAGCCATTGTTAACTATCTTAGTTTTAAAAGAGTCTGCAACAAACTGATGTTCCAGGACCTTGGAACGCCAAATCTTAATTCAGTACACATGTGACATGGCCTCCAAACAAGGAGGTATTACAGTAGAAGGTTTAGAAATGGTTAGTAATTTTCTTAGTCACAAGAAATATGATGGTAGCATAAAATTAAAGCTGAAAGATACTTCAGTATTCAGACCAATTCATTGCAAAACCTTAGTGTGATATGCACAACTGAAGTGAAAGAGTCCTGTGCAAAAATTTGTTTCAAAGCAACAACAAAAAAAAAAAAAAAAGACTTTTGAAAGTAAACTGAGGCAGGTGTGGGGCCAGGAAAATGTCTGCACTGAAGATATTGCCTTGCCATGATCCATTAGCTTGTATTGAGCTCTACACTGTCGCCATGAGCTCAATTATCTGCAACTTCAGCATAGATTTATCTTAGCCTTCTTAACTGCGTTAATCAGTCTTGAAGATTTTGCATCACAAATCAAATGTTATTTAGGTGCTTTCTAATATGTTATTGTATGCTGAAATTCATTTTCATGCTTAAGAGACTGTTCTGCTACAGAAAAACTCCCTTGCCCATTGTGACTAGAAGAGATCAACCACTCCAGCTATTTTAAAAAGCCAATGGGAAGCAACCTGGTGCCTCAAATGATACTTATTGCCATCCACTGGCACCTGGGAAACCACAACCTGAGACTTTCACATCTGTCAAGCAGCTTTGGCATTGTAATGCAGATCCCCGATCTTACAGTCATAAAATATTTTACACACCCAAAGCAGATATTAACCTCCTGCTCCTTTTCCATATTATTCTGTATACTTGCGCCACAATATGCATAGAAAGCTATGACAAAGAACGCTTGCTAAAGCTATAAAGCATTTGATTATTTTGTTATATTTAGTTAGAACACTTTGATATAGTTGCAGCAAATTTGTTTCGTTTTCTTCTTTTTTCTTTTGTTTTTTTTTCTGTCAGAATTTTACACAGTAGCAAGCAGAAGTAACTGTTCTTTTTCAGGAATTCATAGTAATTGTTTTTCTTTCCCTTTTGCCCCCAGAGAAACACATCTGAAGTGAATGACCCCATTTAGAGTACTCTACTCTTTAATTTGTACTGTGCTATGTAATCCAACAACAGAATAGAACTGATGACCACAAAATGTACACTGTGCTCCTGGAAAATAACGAGACCTCCATGAAGCTGCAAGACACCTAACCGAACACTGCTCATGACAAGAAAAAGCCTAACATGCAGAATGTTGTTGTATGAACAGGGGGGAGAAGGTTTAATTCAATTTTAGAGTGGAAAATCCCAACCATTATTTCACAGTTTAAATACCAATAAAAACCAACTTTCCTCAGAATGCAGACCAGATTGAGCTGATCTGGCTGGGCCAAGAGAGGTCATCAGTAGCTCTGTGCCATCATCATCTGTTTTGCATCCACTTAGTGCAGCAAGAAATGAGATTCCTAAACTAATTACTAGTAAATAAACTTCTGCTGCTGACTAGAAATATCTATAAATAAAATGAAAATACACCTATCTGTAAAATGTATTTGCCATAAAAAAAGATAAAACAAAAAGCTTAGTAAAAAATATACAGTAAATATGCCAGCATCTATAAAATATATCACAGTGTTCTCTCTGTTCTAATCCTATTCTCTTACTACAAAGATAGCAGTGCATTTTTTTCCATGGGGTCTTCCTTATCCCCAAAACACATCTGTCTTGAGTTTCTCTCAGATTTGTCAGGTGGATCAGTGCTCCCCAGGGTCTGCTCCATCTGAAGTATTTTAATTTGACTAAACACCTGATTTATTTTATCTCTCCGATGAGAAAGGCAGTTTGTCTTAATACAGCCTGTCAGCCTACAGTCCCATTCACAGCAATTTACAGGCAGCCAGGGATGCTGGAAAAGAAGAGTGCTGCGATTCTGTATTTTATCCTCCTCCAGAAAGCACCTAAAAGCAGCTATTCACTGCTACTGCATGTGGCATTTTAGAACTGAATTAGCTTTTTATTCAAGTAACTACACTTGTTGTGAATAGCTTATCTGTAAAATTGCTACATTCACTACTGATTTTATTAACCTTTGGCTCTATCACAAAATGGTCTTCAGTTAGGAAAGACCTTTAAAACTGACACATTTTTCTTAGGGGCCTTTATTTCAGTGACTTCAGATATACTGAATTTGATGCACTGACTCCCTTTCCCAGCAGAATTTAAAATTTTGAGGTTTTGGGGAAGACGATAGTGTTTAAGGACTTCTTTTAAAATGAAAATTTAACAGTCTCATGAAAAGTTCAGAAAAAATAGTTATTAATTTTGTGATTATAATTTAAGGTGAAAAATAATTTGGTTGTAGCAATATTTTAATTTTTCCTATATAACACATAGGAACAACATGAATGTTATTTTATCCTTTATTTTTGCAAGGATTTGAGCACAAATGGATATAAAATGGTCAGACTGGACAGAACTAAGGCATCAAAGAGAACTTTTGAGAAATTCTGGTCACAGGTCAACCTAACCAGGAATGAGAAAATAAAAAGTAGCTATAAATCTGCTGAAAAAGAGAGAAGAGTTCAACTTGTGGTCTAAAATTACATTTAGAAAGAAAGAATTCTGCTTTGGCAAAAGCTACCTTTTGAAACTGATCACAATATTACATGATTTCTGGCACACAAAGTAATAAAAAGATAGTTGTATACCTTACAATGCATTTAATAAAACCCCTAAGCATCATCTTGCATTTTATATATCTAGATTTCTTTAAGCATTGCAAAAAAGATAAAAAATCGAGTATCCTGTCAGCACAGATACATAATACCGCTACAATTCCTATATCCATCTCTAGCTTACCAACTTTCACCATTTCTGTTACCTTTTACTGCATATTCAGTCTATACACAGATGTAGCTGCATGATGACAAACACAGCAGGCTTTTCAGTGTTAAATTTGGAACTGTCCTTGTGGCAAGTTGTCATGAGATAGAGGCAGAGTAATAACTGCTTGTAAGGGGAAAAAAATAAGCAGGAATAACAAAAAATAGACTTCTAGACTTACATAGTATAATTTAAACTAATCTCTTTGACACTCAGCAAAAGAAAAGAGATAAAACCACATATACTTTCAAGTGAATAAAAGAAAAACTGCTGGTGTCATAAGCAAGCCAAAAAGTTTATAGGCATGATCCAAAGCTTGCAGAAATAGGGTTCTTAGCTGTGACATGAAATTACTGTGGGTTCTTGAATATGGTTGCCTTAGTTTCCCAACTTGTACACACAGCAAAAAAACTACCAATCAGAGGGGTTTATGCCTGGTTAGTTAATGCTTCTGAAGTGCTTTGAGATCTTTGCATGGAATCTCTACACATCTGCAAACT